TTAGATAAAATACAGAACAAGCAATATGAATTATTTTGAAGAAAGGCATTAATATAGTACAGAGTCATACAAGGAATTATATATATATATATATATATATATATATATATATATATATATATATATATATATATATATATATTATTTTTTTTAAACAAAGTTATTGGCTTTGTCTGTAAAGTACCTAAGAGACTTTTATTTATTTATGAACAACATAATCTAGTTTAAAAAAAAAAAGTTATGCTGTCTAAATGATAAAAACAACTAAGGAGAATCACAATGAATCTTATTTGAGCAAAATACAATGTTCAACTCCATTACTTTAATTAATTTCACCACAAATGTATTTAACATAACTTACGTACTGTAAGTGTACTACTCACTACATTCACGAATGTAACTTTTACAGTACGATCTGATACTGAGGAACAACATTTCTTTTGCAATGGATGGAACAATCAACTACATTACTTACATAAGTCTTTCTGCTCTATTTGAAGACATCTTTCAAACCTTAATTTGTTTAAAGGCGAATTAAGACTTATACACATCATTTTAAGACTCGCTGAAACTCGCTAAAGTCATTTTGATAATATGAGATCATAAAACATACAATTTTTTGTAAAATCTAAAACATTTCTGATGCGCTCTATGGAATCTCTTACAATTAAAAGCCGTTAACACAAAAGAACAATTGTTAAAACAGCATAAATAATCCTTATTGATTTACTGCCATCGAATCCATCGCCGGAAGTTTTTGTAATGAACTGCGCGTGTGCAAATGCGTATAATTTGCGCGTGCGCACATGCGTCTACTTTGCGCATGCGTGGTAACACATACGTGACGTACATACGTGACGTGTATACGTGATGTCACCGCGCTACAGTCTGCAGCGAGGGGTATCTCGACTTGTGCGGACTTGAGACAGCCAGGTATCCCAGAATGCATCTCGCACCAACCAGCAAGCGTCAATAGCAGAGGAGAAAACCCACGTAATATCAAAATACTACTGTTATTGTGTCATAATGTAATTTTAAGAAGTGTTTTAGGCGAGAATGTGGTTGTTTAAAACTCAAATCTGTGGTTTATTTATAAATATAGCGCCTATTTGAAAAATGTCTCTGACGTTTTCGGAGTTGTGACATCCAGGCGTTCACCGCGGGTGTTCAACGCTCATCAACCCCGACTGGAACAGCTTTTCCTCGGCTAGTGCGTCTGACGTTTGCCGCTGGCTCTGATGTCTCTAGTCTAGTGGATAAACTTGACGTAATAATTCGTCTTGTGTATAAGTCGATCTTTGGACTCATTAAACTATAGTTTGTTCCTTGGCAAAAAATCGTTTTAGCTGAGGGCAAAGTGAAGTTTCATAACTTTATATATTTAGGCTATTTAACTTTATCTTTGTAGCCTATTAGAGAGCTTACTTATGTTTGAATTGTTTGCCTTATTTATCATTGTAGATATTATTGATCATTAAAACTGACATTTAACAAAAAGAGACAGGGTTGTGTAATTTTATTTTATTTACTTTAAAATATATATATTTTTATATTTATTTTAACATTCTCTTCACTATGTACAATAAAATAAAATGACACAACCCTGTCTCTGTTTGTTAAATGTCAATAAAAATAAATAATGTTTCATATTTTTAAAATGAAAACAAAAAGATCATGTTCATGTTGTTATAAATATATGCAGTGAAGATAATACGCGTTGCCTGAACCACATGGCCATTAGGCTACTATGTTTAAGATTTTTAAATGAAAAGAGGCAGGGTGGTGTTTTATAACATATTTCGTTTTTATTGTTGACGAAAAGAGGCAGAGTTGTAGCATTTCGTTTTATTCTTGCCTAAAATATACATAAAGAGTGACGCGATCAAGAACACACTGTTCCATTTGCAGAATAACTGGACTTGCGTCCTCTCGTCCTCGGGAGTTCGTTCTCCTGAGTCGAACTTGGCAAGTCCGAACTGCCAAGGACGCAAGTCCGAAGTTTGCGTACTTGGTATTGAGAAGCGGCCTCTGTCTGTTCAGTGTTTGTCACGGAGTCCTTGTTATTGTCCCCACACTTCTGTTCGAGTCGGTTCCTTGTGTTTGTCTTCTTGTTATTGGATTGCCTTTTCTGGATTTTGACCTTTGCCTGGACTGTTGTGAGTACGGATTACCCTTTAAATAAAGACCGCTATTGGATCACTGAATTCCTTGTGTGTGTGCTTGTCGTGACAGGTCCGACTGTTGTACTACCTGCCTGAGGCTGTTACCAAATGTATTTCCATACCTCCGTGCATCATGCTCGTGCAGACATCACACATAATCAGCGTGTTCGAGGCTAGGCAGATTTGTAGACATACAGTCACAGAGTGCCACAAACAAACAGCCGTTGTTTAGCCGCTTTAAAGTTTCTCCTGAACCAAAACAACGATCTTATGCTGCGTTCACGCCATGTCATAACCATAGTTACAAGATGGCAACCCTTGACGTTCTACATGAGCTGTTCATGTCCTCAGACTCAGATTTATGCTTTTCTATGTAAAACTATCAACGCCTGGAAATTAATCTGCTGCAGTCAGTTGGTATAACTAGAGCTCTGTAAGTTGTTGGTGTTCATTATTATTGCAATGTTATGTGCTTTGAGACATGAGGTAATTTAACACCGTCTCGTGACGCTTTGAAAACTCTGCTGTGTGTTCATGTGTTTTGAAGGAGGCGTAGCTTTGTAGAAGCTCGGAAGTGAGGGTGGGATCTTGTGCTTTCAAAGCTAGCTTGCTATTGCTAGCCTCTCCAAAATTTCTAACCCTACCTTTCAGCGTAACTAAAATTCGGTAACACTTTATTTTACACTGTCCTTGTTACATCCAGCAATATATGTATTTCTCCTGTTCTGTATTTCCGTGTCTTGTTGCTATTTTAGGTCACCTGTGTCTAATTGATGGGATGGGCCAACGCGTGAGGCGTGTCCCAGCCTGACGGCATAAAGAGCGGCGCGTGGGAGAGAGCGGCGTTGTTTTGTGTTTGAATTGTTGTCTTAAGTTGGATCTCTGTTATGTAAATTCTTCTGTTAAATAAAAAATCTTTACACGTTTGTTTACCGAACTCTCTCCTGCTCTTTTGTTACTATTTGAGAGATAGTAGTAACAAAGTGGGGGCTCGTCAAAACATTATTTTACCTACACTTTAAAGGGCGTCTATTGTTCTTGGAGTAGGTCGACGGGACGCTCGCGTTTAGACATCTTAACTAAGCGTCTTTCCGTTTTTTGAATGCGCCGTTATATTGGCGATTGTAAGTCGGGACAATGGGATTTTTCATGGTGTCGGACATAAAGGGTAAGTTCAGTGATATACATTTAATCAATTAGCCATGACCTTTCCTTTTTGTGCTTACATTGTAGGTTGCGTGTTTTCTGGGACGTGTGTTTTCTTTTGTTTTTGAACAGGTCTGTTGCTAGAGCATTAGTCTCGGGGGCACTACCGAGGTATTGGGGAAATCGCCAGGTTACTGGTTGTTTAACCATTCCTGTGGGCTTTGTGTTAAATTCATCCCACCGCAGTACTGGGGCCCGTTCTTCGTACGTTGCTTAAAACATCCGAGATCAAACGAGACATCCAAGATAATATCATCGTGCTCATCATGATCTGGCTAATTAGGTTCTTCGAATACTCCTGCTGGTTATTAGTATAGCTGGATTGAGTTATCTGAGATAATTGCGCGTTCATGCACTGGTTTAAAAGGGGATATGTATCGATAGTAGAAACATTGATCAGCAACGCTGCTATTGTGCTCACCGTGCTCACCTGCACACTGTAGCCGAAGAGTGCGCTCAGTTTTTCACCGTAGCTGAGCAAGAGTTACAGCTTGAAGGATATGCTGAATTTGAAAACTTAATTAAAACGCCAGGGAACACCTCAAAGTGTGCAAAAGAGAGAGGGCTTGCAAAAAGTAGCAGACAAATTAACTTTGTAGTGACCATGTCAGATGTTTTTATCACTTATTACAGTACAGTATATATTTTGTATTTTAATAATTTCTAAATTAATAACTTTGTTCATTGTAATGTCAGAGTCACCACCCACTACTAGAACATGGGAACAAGTAAAAGTCAAGTACTAGAATATTCTACATAATGTTAATTTGTATACTACTTATACTATAGTCTCTTTTAAAAAGGCACTGTTAATAAATGTTTGCCTGTTTATAAAAGCAACCAAGAAAAAGGCTGAGAAAAAAAGAAAAACAAACAGGTGGTGGTCCTGCATCCCATATATATATAATTAAAAAAGACATTTTGTGAAGGCAGTAAGCACATGCCATTCCTGCATCCACACCCACCTACACCTTATGTTTGCACCTGGTTGCAAATGATAGTTGATGGACAGTTGCACTGGAGGACACAACAGCAGTCTGTTATAAGTGTTCAGAACAGAAGCCATTCTATAGTATAATGTTAAGGTAGAAATGAATATTTAAGTCGTTAAATTCTTGCAAATGATAGTTGATGGACAGTTGCACTGGAGGACACAACAGCAGTCTGTTATAAGTGTTCAGAACAGAAGCCATTCTATAGTATAATGTTAAGGTAGAAATGAATATTTAAGTTGTTAAATTCAAATTCACGTAAACTCTTCCCTCAGAAATAAAATATTATAGAATAATAAACGAAATAATATTGAATTTATAGACAATTGGAAAAGTTTTTGGGACAGACTTGACCTGTTGAAAGGAGATGGTATTTATCCCTCATGGGATGGTGCTGCTCTTCTCTCTAGTAATATGGCACATAGTCTAAGAGCACAAACATGAATTGGGGCTCAGGTCAGGAAGCAGACAGACTGGCTAAACTGACCGTCTGCTAGCTGTCTCACGCCACCAAGGTCAGATAAATCCCATCACATAGGGCTTCTTTCACCTAGATATCATCATATAGAGACTGTGTCTGTTTTCCGAATTAGGAAATACAAAAAACTTCCAAACCCATCTAAGGTTAAAAATTGTACTCATGTTCAACAAGCAGCAATCTGGGGCCAAGACCTGGAAGGCACCGCAAGCAGAACAAGTACAGCAAGCTGCAAGCACTGTAAGCACAGCAGCGTAGCAAGCATTTAAGCACCAACAGCAGTGCAGACCTGGAAGAACAAAAACAGCAAAAATTTGAACAGCCCCTAATTTGAATGTACATGACCCCTAATTTGAATGTACATGACCCCTAATTTGAATGTACATGATGACATAAAGCAATCAAAATTTGAACAATGTTTTCAAAAGTTATATGCGTTTTTGCAAAAAAACTGATATCTCTGGAACACTAGGTGGCGCTCTGTTCAAACTTCCCATCTACCTTCAGGACATGGTGCTGATGATCAGTGCTAAATTTTGTGAAGATATGTCAAATAGTTTAAATGATATTGCAAATTATGACAAAATTCAAAATGGCGGACATGTGGTACATCCAATCCTGGCAAAATCGGTATCCACGGATTCGACAAATATCCATTTTCCATATCTCATGACCTGTAGGTGGCGCTGTTCCCAACTTTGGCATGGACCCTCAGGTCATGGCTCCGATGAAGCGCACAAATATTTGTTTTGATTGATCAAAGTTTGGCCGAGCTATAGCTTCTGAACCAATTTTGGGTCGACCTTGTTAAGTTTGCGACATCATAACTTTTGAACAAAGATGAATAAAAAAAAATTTGTTCATCAGCTATCCCCTTCGGGACTTGGCCCCTAATGAGCAAATGATAACGCTTGGGTTGCTGAATATTCGATTCCTTACTTCATAAGCACTTATTGTTAATGATATGATTACAGACTACAACCTAGATGTGCTGTGTTTGACAGAAACCTGGTTTAATGAGGTATTTCTACCTGATTCTACCTACAAATTCTGTATCCAACTTCAATTAGTTTGATGTAATATAAAACAAGGGAATGCTGTTTTAACTTAATTGATTTAGATTGACTCAACTTACAATTTCCATTAAAGCTTACCTGCTCCCTGCTGATCGGTGAATTTTGCTTCAATGAGGAATTGGGATAAGGGGTTATTATATACATTATGTTAAAGTGAAAAATAACAAATCACAATTGACAGCGCTACTCTTAACCACAATGGTAACCAAAAAATTCAGTTATAGAAACCCAACTGAACATTTAACATTAACATAAACTACCAACATCGTTCCCTTTACTGTAAAACATAAAATAACACTCAATCCCTAAATGTACTGTCCTTATGCAGTCCCTTGCAAAGCATGCTGGGAACCACCAACGCATTCTCATCCTTTGGCGTCATATAGGTGACGCCATATGACATTTCGTCGAAATCTTACGCACATGGCATCCTTTAGCGTCAATATAACACACACTGTTATGGGTAGGTTTAGGTCTGGGGTAGGGTACGGTTATGACGCCTTGGGATCTGCGTCTCATATTCATGCTAAACGATGCCATGTGCGTTGGATTTAGACGAGCGTCACCTTTATGACGGCTTGGGTTCTGCGTCTCATATTGATGCTAAAGGATGCCATGTGCGTAAGATTTCAACGAAATGTCCAAAGCATCACATGTATGATGCCAAAGGATGAAAACGGGCTGGAACTACAGATCCACTGCTCTTGGCTGCATTCCTCAAAAGCATTGTGAGCTAAATTGATCGTAGAGACCATTAGTGGCAAAGGCGATCTATAGGCTTACAATGCTAAACGCAACCCTGAGGAGGGGACCTGTAGTTCCCAGCATGCTTTGCAAGGGGGTGCATTAGGAAAGCGTATTTTGGGATTAAGTGTTACATTATGGGTTTTTCAGTAAAGGGAAAGCTATTGGTAGTTTATGTTAATGTTTAATGCTCAGTTATGTTGGACATTTAGAGTTGTTTCTGTTACTGAAATAAGGTTAAATCTATTGAGAGTTATGCTTCAGTAAAACCTTGTTTTTCAGGTTGGTTAAATTCGGTTATAATCAGTAATCTTAAATCATTTATTTCATTTAAACAAAACCAGTTATAGTAGATGTTGCCACATGAAAATTATTTTCGAAGTTTTTCGAAGTCTCGACATTTTTTTTCAGAATAGCACCACAGACCCAGTATTCGTGTTCAAGGTTACTTATAGTTGTTTCTGCATATTTATCTATTGTAGGATTGGACGTATTTTAAGAAGAAAAAAAAGACAAACTTCAGTTTTAAGTATTCTCATAATTATTTTAGTAGTGGAGAAGCAGATAAAATGTCGAACATACAGCCATCTTGATGAGAACTGAGGTCCATTTGATGTTCCCTTTTGAGTTGTTGAGTAAAGACAATTCTTTGCTTTTGAACCCATGATGGCATTGCTAGCGCTACATAGTAGGACCCAACCCATTCACACTTTGTGTATGATTTCACCAACCGCAAATGAGATCCACATAACTTTTATAGTATTATCCAGAAATTATCTTTATCTACAATAAATAAATAATTTATATACAGAACAAAAAAAACATAATTTGGTCTGATTGATATTCTGGTCCTCTCTCAGGTTCTATGGGGATTGAACGGTTGGATTCAAATAAGACCATTTCAGCCCCCCAGACCTAAACCAGTTCCTCGGAATAATAATTCTTCATCTACAATATCCGCTCATGACATTGGAATCGGTGAAGAGGAGTGGGAACGGCTACAGAAGGCTCTGGACTGGCCCAGTCCAGATCAAGAAATCACTCAGCTGGATCAGAGCACAAGCCCAGTCCACTCAACATTCTCTATTGTGGGACTCAAGGAGAGTTACAAAGTGGGAGAAAAGATCTCTGTTACCATCACAGCCAGAGACCACAACAAGAACCTGAAAAGATATGGAGGAGATTTTTTCAAAGCAAAGCTATTCAATTCAAAGCTCTTGGTGTGTTGCTTATAATATAATATTTTATAATCAAATTTTAAACAAAAAATCAATATTCCGACATTTGTCGCATTGAGTTTGATTTGCCTGTTAATTGTTGGTTTATTTACACAATATTACATATACTGTAATGTTTATGTGTTTAAGCTTGCTTTACCTGCAGACATTAGTGTTCTGCATTACACTTAACCTTCTCTATTCTTCTTGAAGGCGAGTGTGTTCGGGGAGGTTGTTGATCACTGTAATGGGACTTACTCTGTAGCTCTTCTTCTGCCCTGGGAAGGTCAGGCACAAGTTTATGTACGTCTAGAGCACTCCAGTGAGGTTGTGCAGATTCTTAAAAAATACAGGGAGTCCTCATTTCCACGCAGCCACTATAAAGGCCACTTTGAAGGGTCAGGACCCAATAAAACCAGGATCATTGAAGTAGTACAATGTAATCTTAAGTGGGGTGCAGATGGAAGTTGGAGTAAAGGCGACTGCTGCTGTGAGTATAAGGATATAAAAACAGGGACGGTGTGGCAGTGTGAGATACCAAAGAAACTTTCTTGTGACAAACTGGTTCGTCACTCTACTGGAAGTTTGGAAAGCCCATTAAATCCTTTTGAGAAGCAATTGTTGACAAAGTAAGTGGAAAAGGATTCAAAGCATCTTCCAGAAGAATATCAGAACTTCTAGAAAAAGTGTATAAAATGTATTGTTATTATTTCTCTACACAGGACATTAACAAATGTTGCTATTACTGGAGACACACAAATCATTAATGTCCTTCCCAACACTACAGGCATTGGTATGTTCACATACAGTATGATCTGTGTAGTTTTGACCATTTTATTACAAATTTGGAAAGGAATAAAAAGATAGAAAATAATGACAGATTTGGCTCATACCCTCTTTAATTTTGTCATTCATTCTTTCCAAATAGAAAATTGTCAAAACATACACAGAGATATGTCATCTAAAATCAAATGTAGTTACAAGAAAATGCAGAATTTATATAATTAAAAGACTGTCTTTTCAAGTAAATGTTTCTTTGCTTTAGGCACAATGGAGAGATGCAGATCTGGCATGACAACACCAGTTCCTGCAGGGTTCTATCTGAAAGATGTCTGGAATTCTTTTGTATGCAACACTAGGCAGTTCAGTTCTGCACAAATGGTAAATTGTCTTAAAAACAAGATCGTCTATATGATGGGAGACTCCACCACAAGGCAGTGGTTTGAGTATTTAGAAAGAAATGTGCCAGGTAAGTTATTCATTGACATAAATGGCTTTGATTTCGGAATAGGTGACTTTTTTTCTCTTTATGTTATTATGTTGTTTATGGCTTCATAGCATGAATGTACGGAAATAACATACAGAGGTCCCACAAAGTGAAGTTAGTTCTGAAAAAAGCACATGCGGTTTTGGTTTTCAGATGCTACTTGGTTAATTTTGTGTCAAATGCAATGACACGTACATAAATCAGGGCGACTTAAATGGATAGTTTACCAAAAATTTAATTCTGTCATCACTTGTTCACACTCGTGTTGTTAAACTTGATCTTTAAAACTCTCTGTGGTCGTCGGTATCGCTGGCGATACCAGCTCACTTTTTTTCTTATAAGCGCAAAAGAGACTCAAAAGTCTCTGCTGATTTTGATCTTACATATAAGTGTTATACATCATTCGATCCTGTTAAGTGTCTTTTTTTTTGTGCATAGTCACAATAAAAACAAAATGTAGAGGTTTGAAATCTTGAGAAGTGTGATGGCTTACACTAATAATTATCGTCCGAAAATGAACTGTAACTCAGTCAATACTTGTCACAGAGACACGACAGATTTCTCTTTATGAGGCTGAAATTCTCTTCTTTTAAATTAAGTAATTTATATAAAAAACAAATATTCTCAGTTTATGTAATCTGTATGAAAAGAGAAAAGAGAGATGTCAGTCTTTCCTTTCAGCTCATTATAGTTTATTTCGTGTTAATCTGACACGCCCACGGAGAGCGCGCTATTCAAATGCCAATGTTGAGGCAAGCCATCCCAACGCCCACATCAGCTGGATAAAACATCCAGTTTAATAAGAATTTTGTACTTTACCTCGTCTTGCTGCGCTGTGAGGAATAATACTATCGTAATAATCCTGGAAAAGTTACCTCAGAAGTGCTGGTAGTTTCATTTCGAGGAGCAATGGATTCAGCTGATGTAGTAAGTTATTTATTCTTAACCCTCTGGGGTCTAAGGTGTTTTTGGGGTCCTTGATGTTTTGACATGCCCTGACATTTGTGATTTTTTTAAGTTGCTTATAAATATATTAATGGCACAGGTGAAATTACACTCTATTTAGCACAAACAGGGCTATCATAATATGTGAGCAACATGTATGTACATGTTTGTATTTTTGAGAGAAAATTGTTTATGCATGGTTATTGAAAAAAATAAAAATGAAAGTTTCTGAAATAAGGCCACATAACACATACTAAATATCTGTCCACAAGACTTTTGACTAATGGATGTTGTCGCCTAGAGTTTTTGCTTCAAAATGATCTGAAAATCATCCTGCCTAATCATTCACATAAAATAATAGATTGTTTTAAATTGTGAAAAACAATTTTTGTTTGGAAAGGCAATATGCATGGGGGCGTAAACGGCCCAACCCATGAATCATTAGGTGGGTCACACCTGAGAAGACAAAGACCCGCATAATAATGAGCCTTTCATTCAGGTGTGTCACACAAGAAAGAATGGAAGGACTATATATATATATATATATATAATAATTTCAGCTTTATAAAGATAAATCTTTTGTGTCTCTGTGACAAGTATTGACTGAGTTACAGTTCATTTTCGGACGCGTTTCAGAATGGACTTCACTGACAGAGAGAAGGCAAAATTCGCATCATGTTTATTTTTCTTTAATTGACAAAAAGCACAACACTAGTGTTGTCAAAAATATCGATATTTCGATAAATATCGATACTGAAATATCTGAACGGTACCAATACTAATTTCCCGAAGTATCGATACTAGCCGAGCGGTCACTTTCACTTCTCTCCAAAGGCGTGTTGACAAACACCACACGTGACGCACTCGTCTCATTCGCTCTGGTTAAATAGCAAAAGTGAAGTGAATGGAAAGATGGCGAGGGTGGCACCCCCGCGACCGGCTTTGGTTGATTGATAAAGAACACTGTGATCGGGCATGTCGGAGAATAGCGCGCACACGCATAAAAAACAGACCCGCGAGCAGGCATGTCGGAGAATAGCGCGCACACGCGCTTCACACTGTGAGCGTGCTGCGCAACATTATGAAGCTGCAGACTCGGAGCCTGCTGCATCTACAGTCCCGCACCCAGAGTCCCGCATTCTCAGACCCCTCGTTTTTCGAGACAGCGCCTCCTGCTGTTCAGAAGATCGTATAACACCCGCACACAAAGTCCCGCCTTCTCAGACCCCTCGTATAACACCCTTATCCAAATGCCACTGAAAACAATAGGATGCAATATTACGGTCTCGTTTTATTTAAAGTTATCCAAATAAATAGTTGCGTTCCCTGCTTAATGCATGTGCCAAATTTTTGTTCATTTTTTCTGACTAACAAATTACCCAGTAGTTATTTTTTGAGCGTGGATGTAATTGAAAGAAAATTACTGATGGGAGGGATACAATTACAGATTGAACTATCTTCTGAAAAATATTATGTGATATTATATTGCTAGAATGTTTGTTTTAATTCAAATTCCAATTTTTCTTTCAGTTCAACCTATAATGCTCTAATTTACATTATACCATGGTAACATTACAAAACCTGTTTTTTATATTTTAAATGCGAAGCAAAACTCAAATAAGAATAGACAAAAAAACAATAATAAACAATTCTGTACTTTATTTAACAATCACTTTAACACCATCTGGCTGTAGGACAAAGCAAAGAAAAAAAGAAAGAAAGTATTGTGTTCGTGACTTTACTTTTCGTCTTCAATTGCATTAAAAAAACTAATTTATAAGTCGCTTTGGATAAAGGCGTCTGCTAAATTAATAAATGTAATGTAATGCATAAGGTAAAATTATTTCTTTATGGTAGGCGAATGTTCCTTCTTTTTTCCTTCTTTTTGCAATCACTCTGTCAAATTCCTTGACTTCACTAAAATAAAATATGAATACCATTGTCAAAAATATTGTGTAATAATAAATAAATAAAAATTTGCAAATGCAAATTACAAGCATACCTAGGGTGATAAGTAGGGCCACAGAGGAACACCTTATTATTAAACACTATTAAATAATTAATTATGACATTCTTTGATATTAACACTTAATGTATTTAATTGGTCTACTTTAATGTCAACTAATTTTAATCAAATTTTACAATGGCTTGTCTACAAAAAGTCAAAGGTTAAAGGCTAACGTTAGCTATCAAAATATTTTCGGGGGAAAAAGGCGAAAAAACATACATTAACGGCTCAAATTTTGTCACAAACTATATTTACAAATATTGAATGGACTATTCATATGTTGGTGTATTGATGAGCTATAAAGTAGTTTGATTAAAAAAGAAATCGAATGAGTATGATTCGCTAAATAAAATTGACGATACTCACGTTTCGGCTTAAGCTCTTCACGTTTATCCTATCCAGTTAGGAGGGGCTGTCTCGAAAAACGAGGGGTCTGAGAATGCGGGACTCTGGGTGCAGGACTGTAGATGCAGGCTCCGAGTCTGCAGCTTCATACTACTCGTGCTGCGGGCACCCAAAAGATTGTTTGACTATCAATAATCCTTAACATCACTCGTTTTTTTTAATTATTTTATAGGTGAAAACAGACTTAAGGAACAGGCTCCAGGGGTACCATTTAGCAGCATATATGCTCAGCATCAGGGGTGTGTGTTGTTTGGACAGACCTGCCCCCACTGCTAAAAAAATCCTAAAAGAAACACTGTAACTCTTCTCATTTTAACTTTTCTGAAACATTAACCAAGATGGCCTAGTATTGTTGTTGATATGAGTCTGTGTTGTCTAGTATTTTCACCGTTTTCTTAAAGTTAACATAATCTGACTGAGGAATCTTAGACAAGTAAATATTGTTGTGGTCAAATGTAAATTAACTCGTGCCTATTTAACTTTATTCAAAAATTATTATTTAATTCTGCAATTTTCCTTCATTAGCAATTATCATCAATTTGATTACACAGATACTAATTAAACTAAACAGCTAGACAATGGCATCTCTGAATTCAATAATGAAATGCCTTTAACTAAAAATTTAATTTTTAATCTTATTATTATACATTACTGACACTCTATCCTCCAATTTGATACTGTTAAGTGCTTTTTTGTTACAGTATATTTTAATCTTTGATATCAGTAGGTAATAAAAATACAACGGATCACGTAAGCTCTGGTCCAATTAAAAAATATTAACAAATAGAACTCGGGACATTTTTGTACATGTAAAATATACCTCATTGTCATGTTCTAGACTTGTTATATTTAGCTTTAAATACAAAAAATACCCCCTTAATATTGTGGCAATTTTTTTCTCTGTGGTATCGAAAATGGTATTGAATATCGATATTTTTCAAGGTATCGTATCGAAGTTAGAGATTCTAGTATCATGACAACACTACACAACACTTTGTTTTTATTGTGAGTTTACACAAAAAAAATAGACACTTAACAGGATCGAATGATGTATAACACTTATATGTAAGATCAAAATCAGCAAAGTATTTTGAGTCTCTTTTGCACTTATAAGAAAAAAAGTGAGCTGGTATCGCCGGCGATACCGCCGACCCCAGAAGGGTTAATCTGTGGAACACAATTTTTTTTCTTTTTTTTTCTTCCATACATTGAAAGTCAGTGGGGTTCCATGTTGTTAGTGTGTCAAGTTGCAAGCAAGGGAAGAGAAGCAGAGGATCTATATTGCAGCTGATTTCCTTCTTTATAAAAACAAAGAAGGCAATCTAGAAGGCAACAATCAATGTAACAGGTGGAAACCCAGGCGGAGCAGAGGAGATAAATACCAAGGGGGACACCAATAGACTGAAGGCCCAGGGCAGAACCACAGGCTTGCGAGACCAAGGTGAAGATGGGGCTTGGGGCATAATCAGTGGGAGTGAACACAACAATGGAGCCCGAGGGAAGGACGAGCCTGTGGGGCGATGGGGGACGCATAGCCAGAGACCCAAGAAGCATGAAGGTGTAGTCAGGGGAGGAAGGAGTGGACGGGACCAGCGGTGAGGAATGAGAGTTGATGCTTGCCAGCTCCCATATCACCCTGTAGCCCAAGACTGGTTGCCCACTGAAGCTAAGCAGGGCTGAGCCTGGTTAGTACCTGGATGGGAGACCTACTGTGAAAACCAGGTTGCTGCTGGAAGAGGTGTTAGTGAGGCCAGCAGGGGGCGCTCACCCTGTGGTCTGTGTGGGTCCTAACGCCCCAGTATAGTGATGGGGACACTAAACTGTCAAAGAGCACCGTCCTTCGGATGAGACGTTAAACCGAGGTCCTGACTCTCTGTGGTCATAAAAAATCCTAGGATGTTTTTCGAAAGAGTAGCGGTGTAACCCCGGCATCAGGGCCAAATTTACCCAGTGGCCTCTCCATCATGGCCTCCTAATCATCCCCATATATATACTGATTGGCTTCATCACTCTGTCTCCTCTCCACCAATAAGCTGGTGTGTGGTGGGCGTTCTGGCGCAATATGGCTGCCGTCGCATCATCCAGGTGGATGCTGCACATTGGTGGTGGTTGAGGAGATTCCCCCCTTCTATGTAAAGCGCTTTGAGTGCAGAGAAAAGCACTATATAAATGTAATGAATTATTATTATTATTATTCTGCTGGGTGGACCGGTGGCAATGAAGGAGATCTGAGCGGGGCCAGCGGCGACGAAGGACTCTTGGGGCCGGGTGGAACCAGCAGTGACAAAGGAGACTTGAGGCTGGACGGAACCGGGCTCAAGGAAGGAGACTTGAAGCTGGACAGAACCAGTGGCTGAGACAGAGCTTGAAGGTAGTAGAAAATCAGTGAATCCAAGAGTTCACACTGGGAGGAATCGATTTCAGGGCTAGGAGGGTGAATTAAACTCTGCTCCACGATATCCAAATCCACCAGCACTCCCTCAAGGATGAACATAGATACCGGCTCACACAACCAGGCCGACCGAGCAGGCTCGTGCTCTGGGTCTACGGTGGCCTCTGTTGATTTGTTCATGCATGTAGAAAGTGCAAGTTCAGGCTCCGGGACAAACAATGACTCAAGACTAGGACACCTGAACTGACAGTGTGGGCGGTTCACACACCTGGTCAGACTCAGCTGGCTTTGGATCTGGAGCTCTGTGGGCTCTTGCTCTGGGTCAACCCAGGTGTGAGGAGGGGCTGGACAGGCTCTGATTCTGGGCCTGTGGTAGTTGGCGTGGACATCAACAATGGGTAGGCATACTTTACACCAAATAGATTAGCTTCTATCCATGTTAGATTTCCCATGTCTGGTAAGTCTAGAGGGCCATAATAATTGTATCCTACCCAAAAGAACTGTTAAAGCACATAGAAACATAGAGCATAACCATTACAGAGTGTGAGTATGTGATGTTTTTTTTATTTCTTGTGTGAAATTGCTTTTTGGGGCTGCTGTATACATTAAGCAAAAGCAACTTTGTAAAGCTGTTTGGAAATTGAAGCAATGATACTAATGTAAGTTTTTCTTACTAGGCATACAAAGAATTAACCTCCACACTCATCATTTGGGTGGACCCCTGATGGCTGTAGAGTTGAAAAATAGTATCATTGTTCACTGGAGGCCACACGGTGTTCCTTTGCGATTTTCTAACGTGCTCATTAACGACTTGCATTATATCAGCAATGATATTGATGAAATAGCTGGTGGTCCTCATGCAGTCGTTGTCTTCACAATCTTTGCCCACCGGGTTTTTCACCCAATAACATTTTACGTGCATGAAGTGGCCAAAATCCGTCAGTCTGTTGTTGCACTGCTGAGTCGTGCACCAGAGACTACCGTCATCATCAAGTCTGGGAACACTGCAGGACTAAAGGTACAATAGCTTATTGACCAATCCTACTCTATTTTCAATAGTTCCCTTTCAAAAGCTACTCTCAATGCTGCGCTGATTAACGATATCGGAAAACATAGTTGTTTGACCGGCTGTGAACTAATGTGGCAAACACACCAAGAATTTGGCTTAAATAATCTCTGATGATGACGTCATCGGAATGCGCATGACAGAGGCTATAAATAGATAGAGACAGGTGCGCTTTCAGGTTCCTTTTTTTCTTCAGAACTGTGTGCCGTGTGTGCTGCATTCTTTCTTAAACTACCCTTTTGCTAGGAGTTAGTTTTGTCAGGTAGGAATAAAGCCTTTCGCATTCTCTTTCTCTGTAATGAAAAGAAGATCATGTCGAGAGAATCCAGCAAGAGATGCGTGCCATGCTCAGAATATGAGCACTGCAACTTATTCTCCATCAAAGTGCTCTGCTCCAGGCTCGCATTCTTTCGGAAGAGTGAGCCAGTGAGTCCTCGATTACAAGATCATGGGGCTCACGTGTCGATCTGGTTGAAGGGCGGGACGTGTCCTTCGCTTTCTCTTGTTCTTTCACCAGATCATGAGGTCATCGAGCCTGTGTCTGGAGCACGCTCCGGCATTTTTTTAAACCGGGCTGAGGACGCTAGTTCTCTTGAGGAGATGGATTTTGATTGCGCTGCCTCTGAGCACTCCTCTCGTGATGACAGATCATATGGGGAGCTACTCAAGGTAATCACTCATGCTGTGGACAGTCTTCAGTTAGACTGGCCACAGGAACAGGAGAATCGCAGACAATCAAAGTTAGACCACAGATTTCTGTCGGGTGGCCAAGGGGAGGCACCAAAGATTGGAAAAGATTTTACAAAGCAGAGGTGGACCTCTTAGTTTCACAAGAGTCTCACAGTGCAATGTCCCATTTACTACCTTCTTGGCGTGTTTGCCAAACGTCTTTACAACTGGTCGAAAAAAGATGTTTTCCCATAGTGCCAATCAGTGCAGCATCTCATTGCCGCTTTTTCAGAGAAAAGGATTACAGTCAAGTAACCCGTGACATTTTCTACATTGTGTTCATATGATAATATGTATGGTTAACAAGAAAATATGATACATTGGTGGGGGTTGAGGAGTTTCCCCCTTCCATAGGTAAACACTTTGAGTACCAAGAAATGCACCATATAAAAGTAACACATTAATTAATTATTAATGAATTACATTTGTTCTGCTACCTTTTTATTGAAAGTCTAGAAATTAAATGATTAACTAAAATAATAATTATGTCATAATTTACTCATCTTCATGTCATTTTAAACATGTATGACTGACTTTCAGCTGTGGAACAACAGAATGAGCAGAATGTCCAAACTTACAATGAAAGGAACCAATGAAAGGAACAATTAAAGGCTGCCAAGCTGCAAAAAGGACAATAAGGGATCATAAAAAATAAAGTAGTACATTTGGATTAAGTTTTCTAAAGCAAAATGTTCTGTGGGAGAAACATAAGGAAATGTTTATTGTTTGCATGGAAATTAGTATCTTGGACATTGGGCTAAGACATCGAAAATCATGAGTATAAATGGATGAATGAATCATTTTTGGGAAATTTATTTATTTATACTAGATAAAAATAATAGGTTTATTGTCATTTCTACATTGTAGGAAAGGTATAAAATGTGAAAGACAAATAAGACTACAAAAAGGACTGAATGCTATGTCTGGATTGTTCGCAATTGCAAACAATAGAGTAAAGGTACTTTGTCTAAAATAACTTAGTGGTTTTTTTTTTCTTATTTTAATATTTGTTACTGCTCTGTGTTGTTACAGGATATTTTTCAAAGTGATTGGTATGCAATGCAGCTGAATACAGTGATGCAGGAGATGTTTCGAGATATCAATGGAGTAATATACTTCGATGTCTGGCAGATGACGTCCTGTCACTATCTACGTGAAAATATTCACCCAGGACCTGTTGTTATTGCTAATGAGGTCAATATTTTGCTCTCTTATATCTGTCCTTCCTAATACATTCAGATTCAACCACAATAAAAAAAAAAAATCTGTATAAAATTATATTACAAAATAAAAAAAGAACATTATTTATCTTGCTTTGTCATTATAAACAATGTGGATTGTGGATGGATGTGGATGATTTTTGCTAAATTGTACATATTTTACGAGTTGCCCAATTCGTATAAATAATCTACCCCTTACCCCGCCCCTACCCATCACTGGGGTTTGGACAAATCATACGAATTAGTAGTGAGGTCGTACAAATTCATATGAATTAGCCACCTCGTATAGGGGAGCGCGGGGCACAACGTAACACGGGGCTAGTTGTAACACACTTGTTTTAAATACTTCCACACATGCCAGCATGACGAAACTTGGTGTATTTACTAGTTGCCATTTCAACACTATATAGAGAAAAAATTGCGCCAAAATTCAGAAATCTTTGTAAGATATCACTGAACATTTATTTAACCATAGCAAAAGTACATTTCTTACTTAAGTTCATTTTTTATCTCTATTTTTTGTTTATTTAAAATTAGACAAATCTGATATTATTTTAATCTTCAATCTGTTGTTGATATAGTTCTTTAATGCGTCGCTAACTATCAGAAGACACTAGCAGGGTTTAAACCCCAGTTGTGCATGCGGGGCATGTTGTAACACTGCGTTACAATGTGCCCCTATTAGAAATATGCTATTATATTCTATACTTTTATGAATTCTATTGAGAAAACATGAGAAACATGTAAATAAAGACTGAGAGTCAATGTTCAGAGACTATTAATTATTATTTTGTTTTGAACTATGCTGTATAGCTGTGTTTTCCGGTGTGTTTGTTGTCAAACTCAAAAATTAGTTTATTTTTAATTATAAAAAAATGCCATTATTGTATTTTATTAAGAAAATATTTTGGTTTGACTTGTATATTTTTTTATTAGATCAGATAGCATTTTAAGCTGTCCTATGGTGATGTTACAATGTGCCCCTCACATGTTACAATGTACCCTACCTGTGGGGCATGTTATCACATTTCACTTCCATTCTTTCGGGGTAAATCAAGAAAAAAGTATACAAAACAAAACCACATAATTGTACTAGACATGTGGGAAATTAATGTGGGAAAAAATAAATACTCTAAACCCTAAGTAGATTTACACAAACTGAGAAAGTCAAAAAGCGTTACGTTGTGCCCCGCTCTACTCACTCGTACGAATTGGTTGTGAGATAGCGTTGGAGTGGCCGGTCAAGTTGGAGAAGAACAGCATACTTTATAGTTACCTTCACAATGTTTGTTTGACGTAAGTAAAACACATTTCAAATTATGTTTGAAATGTTTTTTTTTTGTTTTTTTTTTTCTATTATTCTGATATTCTCTTAGAATTATAGCGGATTTATTAGTTCTGTTTTTTTTTTTTTTTTTATATCAACCGACACAATATAGACCCAGCTGAGTTTTCATTTCCAAGACTCGCGCCGGGTTCACACTGCACGCGTTAGCAGAGCGGAGGCAGCGCAGAAGCAGTGCGTATGGTGAGCGGGAGCAGCACGCACCCGTTTTGCTTTCACACTGGCAGCGTTTGTCGGCCGCAGCTGAACCGCGGCTTGTGTAGCCTACAGGCTTTTGAGGTTGTGCATGGTTAACCAAGTACTTTGACAGATTTTGTTGATTTTTTTAAATAAATAAATATTGATAGGTAATTGATACCTGAATTATATTTGTTATTATATATTATCTGCATAATTATTACATATTAGCACTCATCTCCATGAAAGCGTTCTGCAAAAGAGAAAAACTTTACGAAATCGTTTAGATTGTTGAAATATCTACCTAATTTACAAACATTACACATCATAAACATCTTAAAAATAATTCATAAATGTCTGTTATAACAAACAGAACAAAGAACAAAGTTCTTAATAGAGACATATTGTAAATGAGCAAAACAATAAAAATAAAAAAATCATGCACATCATAGATGTACTGTATGTGTGCTATATTTATCTGTCTATTCTATTTATCTTTCTATATTGAGGTGAGTTGTTCTAGTGGGCAAGGGAAAGGTTGTCAAAAACACTTTTAAATGACTTAATACCATCGGCACCAAGATACACTGCAAATGAATCCCATGCTTTTTCCTTTGCCTGCAAGTCTTTACAAAACATATTATGTGGATCATAAATAACTTTATGCTTCTCAACCTCCACAATGAGACGAGTGTCGTCTATTATTGTTGTCTTTCCAGGTGCACTCTGAAGACCACCGCCTGCACCACATGCTTTTGTTTATGATTGTCAGCATGATGTCAGCATGACATCTGTTATTATGCCAATATATAACCTAACCTTAACCCAGTTACAGATTAATTTAATTATGTATATATATATATATATATATATATACATAATTAAATTAATCTGTAACTTAAGTTAAACTGGCAATAGGCTAAAAATTGTTTAAACTTGTTTTTGTCTTTCAGGGAAAAAGTTTGTTTTTGGACATTTGTTTTCTTTTTTAATTGCTGAAGGTCATTTGATTGACTGTTTAAAACACAAAAGATATCATCAATGCGTTTTTTGATTAATACTGCTGTGTATTTTGGACAAGATCAATGCATTGTCACTTTAATTCAGCGTGAGTGGTGCAGCAAAAATAGACTCAGCACCAGAGCCGGACAGTAACGGAGTACATTTACTTGAGTACAGTACTTTGTCACGACTACCTGGCTCACAGTAGCAATGACATAGGGGAGACCACACTTAAGTACAATTTTGAGGGATCTGTACTTTACTCGAGTATCATTTTTGGGGAGTACTCATGACTTTACTCAAGTACATTTGAGAGGCAAGTATTGTACTCTTTACTCCAATACATTTCTATCCATAACCTTCAGTACACGAGTAAAAAAAAAAAAAAAAAAATCTCGGAAACCCTCAATTTGTTGTTTCCCTCTCAAATGTGATTGGATTGCGCAGGCGCCACTGATTGGGACAGCCTATCAGCAATCACTTTCAGCTTTCCGCCAAAGTCAACTCCATGGTCAGATTTTATATTACACATTAATGTAAGCCAAACATTTGGTTTGATGTTCTTGAGTATGTGGTGCGTTTAACACAGTCAGGTTCAAATGTGGCAGTGGCGTAGCCACGAGGGATTTCTGATTTCTTAAAAAAAAAAAACTTTAGGAGGCAAAATATATTTTTACTGATTATGTGAATTACACTGCGGAAACCAAAGTAGGCTACTACCCAGCGAATGAAGAAGGGTTGGCGCTCAGTCTCCAGAGTACATAAAATATTAATTTTGTTTTATTTTATTTTTCCGGTTTGCATTTATGAGGAAAAAACAATGTTATGGACGTGTTCTCCGTTACGGACGTGAGCGCTCTGAAAGCGGCATAAAAAATGCTTTAAAACTTTCACAGAGACCTCAAACAGAAAACACAAAACCTTTCTTTAACCTGAATTTCGTTTTGCATTAATTGTATCTTAATTTTAATCAATGTTTCATCAACCAATTGCCTGGGTTTAATAAATAAGAAGTAAATAGCAGACGATAGAAAAGAGACAGAGGCGCCGGCCTGTGAACTGGATCTCGTCTCATAAATGAACCGAAACTGAGTGTATAAGGTTGCCTACTTGCCTCTCACAGACATGTCTACTTTTAAACAGAAAAAAATCAAAACGAAAGAAAACAGACTACAGACTGCTTATGTAATCCGTATGAAATGTGCATTTCTCTCTGGCGCGTTCACTACTGAAGATCGCGAGTCAGCATCGTCAACTTCATCTAGCCGACACTGACAAAGAAAACACTTGTTTATTAACAAGTGTTTATTAATAAACAATTAAAATATCTCCTTGCTACATTTTACATATTCATAATTATTCCTTTTGCCGGTTCTTTGTGACAGCTTTTAGGTGCTTTATTGGCAGCGCCACCCTTACATGTGGTGTGTGTGTGTGTGTGTGTGTGTGTGTGTTGTCCCCGCATTTAAAGATGGGACTCCCCAAAAATTAAATTAAATTAAATAAAGCAACATGGTAAAAAGATGAAAATGACTTGATTTTACTTTCAATTCCTTTTACATTCTCCAAGGTATTAACATTAACATTTTTCATAACTCCATGTAGGACGTATCTGTGCATAAATGTAAGCACTGTGGCAGTAGATTAGTAATGCAATATTTAGAAAATCTACTCTTGTACTCTTGATACTCAAGTACTTTTAAAAACAAGTACTTTAGTACTTTTACTTAAGTAGACATCTGAATGTAGTACTTTTACTTGTACTTGAGTAAAATTTAGCAAGGGGTATCTGTACTTTTACTCAAGTAACAAAGCTCTGTACTCTGTCCGCCTCTGCTCAGCACCTATCTTTAGCGAAGCGGCGTGGAGAGCTGCTTCTGAAACGCGCCGCGTCGCAGCTGGTGTAAACACAAGCATTGACTAGAGTGGGCGCGATCAGCTCCTGTAGCCGTCTGCTCCTCAAGATAGTTCACGTAGTGTAACTGCGCAGCGCATCTGTGTTGTACGTCACACGTAGCTCACTATTGGCCAATGCTGGTCATGTGTGTGATGTGTGTGACGTACAACCCAGAAGCGCTGCACAGTTTCACTACGTGAACTATCTCGAGGCTCACACAGAAGAAAATAAACAGTTGAATAAAGTCGTTATTTTTGTTGTTTTTTTGCGCACAAAAAGTATTCTCGTCGCTTGATAAACTTAAGATTGAGCCACTGTAGTCACTTGGACTATTTTAACGATGTCTTTAATAACTTTTGGGCCGGCAAGCTTCAATCCCTATGGAGGAGTGATCCAGCTCTCAGATTTAATAAAAAATATCTTACAGTTTTTTTTCAATTGCTTAAGCACAATTCTGGAAACAGGGCCCGGTTTGTCAAAACACTACACACAATTAGCACAACCCTACACCAAAGTAGCACAACACTTCAGATCATTTGCAAAATGGAACACTTTTGTCAAAACTACACAACTTCATAAAAACAATATT